CCCCAAGGACCAGCCCGCAGGAGGGCCGTGGCAGAGCTGGGGGCTGTGCCCTCCCGAGCGCACAGCTTGCGTCCCCAGGTCACCTCTCCCCAGTGTGCCTCACCCGCCACCACTCCTCGTTGGAGTCATCCACCACCGTGATCTTCTCTCCTGGCCTGCAAAGGGAGGGAAGAGCACTCTCAGATGTAGACCCTGTGACTGGCAAGGAAAATTACTCTTCCCACAGCTTCAGCTCTGAGAGCCCTGTTGGGGGGGGCGGGGGGGGGTCCCTGGGGGGGGGGCACAGCCCCTGGGCTCATGGGCAGGACGGGTCCCTTGCGTGAGCAGCTTGGCCTCAGCTTGGGGTGCAAGAAATCGGCAGTGCCACGTAAAACAGCAGTAGCCTCGGAAATGCGGTTTGTGCACAAAGGCTGGAAGCTGGGGAGGAAGGTGGCTCGGCCAGAGCCAGGGCTCGTTGTCTCTGCACGGCTAATCGGGGCAGAAAAGCCACAAACCCCAAACCGCAGCCAGCACTGCTGATTTCTGCCCTTGTTCGTTCACAGCACCCTCTGGGCCCGAGGGCCTTGCTGAGGTGAAGACTTACCCCCCTCCCCAGCGCACGCCCCCGTCCTGGCTGGGAACTCACGGGAAATCCAGGTCGTCTTTCTCCAGGGCTTTGAAGCGATAAAGCGCCACGAAGTAGTGAGACTGCAGATAGCCGCTGCGCATCCCCTGCTGTGGCTTCTTGTTCTGGGGGGCAGGAGAGAGGGGCTCAGAGGCTGGGGGGCCGGGGGTAGCCCGGGCACCGTTGGGTACGGGGTGAGGAAGAGGGCTACCTTGTCATCTGCTGTGCTCTTCTCCGCCTTCTTGTCCCCTTCGGAGGTGCCTGAAAACAGGAGAAAAAGGGTCACCTCTCTTGTGCTGCTCTTCCCCACCGCAGCACCAGCCTGCCCTTGGGGACCTCCCGTGCCTGCAGAGAGCCCTGGGGCGAGACCTGGACTTAGGGCCCCTCTTCGGGGTGAAGCCCACCCCAGTGGGCTCCCCGTCCCGCACCCTCGGGGGGAGCACAGCCCTGCAGCCCCAGCCCTGCCTGCTCGCAGCACTCACCGCCCTCGCTTTTGCCCCCAGCTGCCTTCATGGCCTCGGGTTCCTCATCCATCATAGCTGCCAGCGGCTGCAAGGCAGGCAGCAGTCAGGGGCTGAGGGGTGGGCAGGCGCCCAGGCCGGCTCAGAGTAACAGGCCCACCCTGCACTCACGTTTTTCTTGTCGTCTTGCCCTTTCTTGCGCTCTTTGTTGGCCATGATGACGCCCGTCCGGAGGGTCTCAAACACTGGGTCGCTCCTGTTGGCTGCTGCTGGGGCACAGATGGAGTGAGAGGGGCTCAGTGAGGGGGTGTGGGGAGATTCCCCCCACCGCCCGCCCCAGGCATGAAGTCAGTACTTACAGAGCAGCTCCTTGACGCAGGCATACTGCTGGTCGCTATACAGGGGCGAGCTGTATGCTCGGCGAAAGCCTGGTGGCTGCAAGGAGGAGGAGGAGGGGGTCAGAGCACAGCCTGCCACTGGCGAGCTAAGGGGGCAATGGGTGGGCGCGAAGGACCTGGAGGGCAGATGCCCAGCTGGTGGTGCTGCCCCCGGGTCCTTCCCACAGGGCCGGGACCGCACCGGCATGAGCACTCACGATTTTGCCAAAGCAGCGTTGCATCTCCACGTAGGACTGGCAGTGGTGGTGAATATTGGTTTTGCAGTTCTTGCACCTCAGGCCAAATTTGTTGTTGACTGGTGGGTGGAGGGGGGGGAGAGAGATGGATGTGCCCCCGGGGCTGCAGGCGGGGCAGGGCTGGAGCCCTGGCCCAGCCCTGGCCCCCAGCCTGTGGCCCCAAGCCCAGTGCCCCCGCGACTCACGGACAATCATGCGGGCACAAACGTCACAGAACTTGGGCTTTTTGAAGTAATGATCCTTGAACTTGTGGGGTTTGTCATTGACAAGTTTCTGGGGCTCGGGAGGAGGCTCGGGCTCCTCCTCCTCTTCCTCCTCCTCGTCCTCATAGATGTAGTAGATGGGCCTCCCGGAGGGGCTGACCAGCTCCCCATTCGGCTGTGGCTCCGGTGCCGTCTCCTCCTTGGGCTTTCGCCGGAAAAGTTGCTTCAGCTTCTGCAGCTGCTGGAGCAGGAGAGGCTGCAGGGCGCACTGCAGGCGCAGGGGGCGAGGAAAACAGGAAGGAGCCGGTGCCCAGCTCCCAGCCCCTTTGCTCTGACCTACAACCTCCCTCACCAGGTGGGGGGAGAACCCAGATGTCCTGGGTGCAGTGTGGTGGGCACAGGGACCCTCTCTCTGCCTAGTGGGGTCCCCCCACAAGGGGCAGGTTGCAAGTCCTGGGCACCACATGGATGTAGGCACCTTGGGGCAAAGCTAGGCTGGGCAATGCCCATATAGTGCTCCACTCAAGCAGATACCACCAGGGCACCCCTGGCCCCACAGAGGGTCCTGGGCCTGAGGCAGAGACCATGTGGGGAAGGTGGATTCCCCCTCTCACCCAAGCTGATCTGCAGGCATCCACTTACCCGGCTCTTGGGTTTCCCACCTGAGGCAGATGAAGCTGGTGGCTCTGGCACCTCCTTCTCTGTCATGCTACAAGGGGAAGACAAAGACATCGTCTCGACTGGGGCTGCCCCCACTGCAGAGCCTCAGCCAGGGCAGCAGCGGCCTGTGGCCTCGG